GTCCGGATCTGAGGGTCTACTCGGCACGACCTGGAGGCGTAGATTCTGGTGCGGACCCGGCGGTGGCCAAGGCAACGGAAGGGAAGAGGGACACCGGCATAAGGAAGTGGGAATCCTACATCATGCCGGTTTTCAGGGTCTTGTATTCGAGTATGGTGAGCCCGACCAGGGAGCTGGGTAGGGTTTTGACGGATCTGGCGCTCAAAGATGGTGAGAGGTTCAAGGACGGACCTGGAATTAGTGGGGAGGGGAGGACGGTTGGCAATGTGGCGCTGAGGAAGATGGCTGGTCTGTGAGGACTGGTGAGGAGAAATTCGACGAAAGGGTGGCCCAGGCGTTCGTGCGGATATGAAATAACTTACGTCAAGTTGGGAGCACTTTGAGAAAGCCTGGATCAGTGACAACCGGATACGGTGATCTGCATGTAATACTAATGAAGTATAGCGTGATGCTAAAGTACTCCCTTATGTATAGCGGAATCCGCCTCGGGTGTATCCCCTTGAACTCGAAGACTCCGGAGGCTTGTCCGACATAATTCCCTTCCAGGTTCAACCCAGATTCACGCGTTTCCATCCACCACGAGAACTGTTGCTTAGAAGCCGCTGCTTGTCCTCATGTACCCTTCAACCAAAGCCCCCAGGGTATTGTACCATGCGGAGTCTCTTTAAGCGTGGGCGCTAGACTTTGACCTGTTGGGTCGTAGCCTGTGAGAAGGGAAGGTGGGGTCCCCATGTAAAAAAGCAGTACGAGATATTGTTCCGCACCGGTTGTAGGTTTGAGCTGCCGGCGCTGGACGAAAGAAAGTCTTCGGCTGCCTGGATGAAGCAACGCCGTATCGTTCCTGACTTAGTCTTGTAAGTGCGAAGTCTGGTTTGTTCACTGCATCGTACTATGAGCTGTGTTGATGAACACTCGTATGGACGTTTCAAGAGCTTTGCTCGGTTGGAGTCGAGACACAGGTGCCTTTGATAATAAGATTCTTGCCCTGTCGCACCGTAGTGCCTCAATGCTAATCCTGCGTTGGCGTATATACAGAGCTGCCTTGGCATTTGCAAGGAATATGTAATATCGAGTCGCTGGGAGGATACCCATGCGTCATGCCGTCCGCGGCAGCTTAGACTTCCCACTTCCAATATGGGTAGAGTGAGAGGACAGCTACATGAGCAAGCGCCAAGCACCGAGTATCAAAGCAGCCGTGCCTGTACATACACCCCTGTCGCGAAGTCAGCTTCCGGAGCAAAACGTGAAGCAGATGGCAGGCCCAAGATGAGCAAAGGGAAGATACTCACATTAACCACTGGAGCGTCGAGAATTTCACTGCCTCGACCCGTTCTCTCAACCCAGCCACTTCTTGCTCAATTCTTGCTTCCGTTTCCTTGATCCGCATCTCCTGGCCGTTTGCTTCCTCTCTTATACGACCCTTTTCCAGATTGAGATCGAGTCTGACAGATGCCTGTGTCCGGGAGATTTCGTCGCGTAAGCGGCTGGACAACTTTGCCAAATCGGAGCTTAAACGCTCATGTGATGATCGAGTTAGCTGTGTCTCCGTGGAGTCGGAATTCATGAGCTCCGATCGCAATTTGGCAAAATCCACTTTCTGTGTGTATGCACTTCTTTCAGCATCTGCATCACACCCGAATCAGCTGTTCCTCTTTGCAAAGCACGGTATGTTTGGAGTACACACCCTCTTTCAGCACCATCGTTCTGGTCAAATTCTGAATGCTCTCCTCAATCACATCGTTCAGCACTCGCATCATTGCAACTGCCTGTTCTTCGCTAAAGCCCTCACCCTTCAGCCTTTGCACGAATTTGAGCGTGTCAAAATGATGATCTTTCTGGTGTGACCGTGAGGTTGAGAAGGCTCTCTTTGCAGGTTTGAATGTTGCAACATAAACGCCATTGTGACGTATAGGGGGGGCATTCGCTGGCACAGGAATCCGCTGAACACTTGGCCGTTCAAACTTGGCTGGTCGTTGATGGGTAATATGCGCCAGCTGGGGGGAAGATATTATATTAAGGGGGCGTATCTGCGGTAGTCGATGTAGTGGTGGAGGAGCAGGTCTATTGACATGCGTGCGGACCTTGGGAGTCAGCTGCGATGTCGCACCTTTGGCAACAACTTGCGACCAAGTGATCCTCGGCAGGAGGAAACGCGGAATTTCTGTGACTGCTCTATGGTTTGCCATCACTGTGGATGTATCGAAGAAGTGGGGATGGGAACAACAGCAGGCAAAATAACTTGGGCCCTACTAATGCAGGGAATGTCGGCCATTAGAGGTCCGATGCCAAGCGCACCCCAAAAAAAGATGGAAGCATTCATGCTCGAACAGCCACAGTAAGAAACGAATTCCTTATATTCCATACTGGAAAAATAACAAAAACCTCGAATCTCCGAACTACCAGCCACATTAATCTGTGGTGATAGGCCATGAGATTCAGGAGAAACCCTCTTAAGAGGATTTTTTGGGTTTGGACGTGTCAATGAGCCTGAGGCAACTGTCAACACCGTTGGTTATCTACGAGTCACACAAATCCGGGTACGATTCCGATTACGATTTGCTATATAGTGACAGCTTAGACCGGGTGTTAACCAACTACACCATATGGGCTGAGTTGGTTGTTGGTGTGAATTAAAATTAATAAACTATATTGTGTGTTCTTTGGTTTTGTGTTTTGGGTGGGGAAACACAGATACAATCTCGCCACAAGAATCCTTGATGAGATGAAGAACTAGGGTGTTTGACGCGTACACGTGTGATCTCTGAGGTATCCTGGTTGGCTGTGTTTGCTGAAAATTCATTCGGCTACTGATGCTCCCTTTTTGTTTTCTAATATGGACCTGTGTGCGCCACTGCTAACTATGAAATGCAACATGCTCGCTCGTCACAGGTCAAAGAGCTCCTTCAAGACCTTCATGGTATCTTCTGGTCCCTTCACAGTGTGCCCTGTCGTCCTCGGATCTGAGAAGATCTCGTAATCGTTCCCACCTTGAGAAGTCATGTCGCCAAAGAAGTGAATCGTTTTGTAGTTAATACCAGAGAGACCCTTCTTCGTGTCTGCCTCTGCTTCCAGATGCTGCAGACAATATGTCTTGTCCCACCCTTGCGGAAATACATCAAATGAAATCTGGCCACCAATGGAAAATGTCAAGCCCAGGTCGGGAAACTCCTTTCGTAGTGCTTCCACCATCTTTTTTCGGCACCCACTCTCCTTGTCCCATTTGTTGAATTCGTCTCGTTCCTTCGAACTTGCATTCCTGCCAACAGGGCTGACATTGATCATCCCGGTCCGAAACTCCACAAATGTCCCCCGCATTGCTGGCAAACCTTCCAATCCAGAGATGTATCGTAGACAGAATTTGACAAGTTTTTGATATTTCTCTTCTCCGAGCCATTGGATAAAAGAGTTCGAAGGTAGAGATTGGCCCAAACGAAAAGCGGTCAAGCCGTTCTCGGCGAAGCAGAAATCAAAAAGCGTGGTCACGGGAAGAGAGGGTGTGCCCAACTGTTCTTGTTGTTTTGGCAGGTCACTACCCGAAATCTTGGAACATTTAGCTTGTCGTGGGAAGCGGTTTCATCTATAGACTTACATATCCAATTGCGCACTTGTGTCGGAGTGCAGAGAGTAGCTTCAGCATTTCAGCTGACACAGACTTTCTTGCTGGAGTGAGAGTGTCATCAACATCAAACAAGCATACTGTCTCTTTGACTGGTCGATCTTTGAGATCAGGATAAAGCTCAGCCATATTTAGAGTCTTCAGGAATGTAAAGAAAGACGAAGTGTAAGAAGTATTCGGGGCGCCTATTCAGCACTAAGCAGACTTGTGAAGATGTTGCATAGAAGACACGAATTTGAGATTCATGTTTCCAATGGAGATGTGGCCTCAAAATTCTGAGTCATTGGGCAGGGCAAGCCAGGAACTACTGAATCACGTCAAATGCAAGGGACTTTGTCCCATAATCTTATTTATAAATCCTCCAGTGGCCCGTCACTCAACATTGCCCATGAAGAAGAGTTGATGCTCACTGATCACTGAAATGAGGAAGCAGACTTGGAGGTGATTATTAAGTGCACATCGGAATGTTTCATATACTGCTTAGGTCGTTGTTGCACTACTCTAAAATGTCACCTTGATTCCTATGCCAGAATCGCCCTATGCTATCGCCAAAACTGACCTCACTCAAGGCCAATTCCGTTTCCAGACCAGAGGACTTGCTGTATTAGCCCACGCAATGAATAAGGCGACCTGAGCCATGGTTATGCAGCCCTGCTCTAAGCCTTCACGTGCCTGTGCCGGCCCTCCGTGTCTTGTGGGATCCCAGATTTGTCCATGTTCTAACCCTCAAGACCAATTTTGCCTTTCCCAGTGCCTAGTTTTGGATCCTGGAGCCCTGGCGGTAGTTATCAGCCCTGTTTCAACCTGAGTTATTCCCCTAGGTTACCACCAACTACTACCCTACCTATTCAACCTACCGAGAAGTTTCACACTACGAGCTACGGAGTGAACAGAATTCATATCCTCGAAACAGTCTTTGGCCTTTAATAGAGGATACGGAGACTAAACATACCATGGTATTATGAAGCCTTAACAGATAACTCTCTAGGAGATCAAGATGTCAGGGCCGGACACACTTGAGAAAGAATAAGTCAAATTAATGAGTCTGATCTTAGTGGATTAGCTAAAGCTTCGTCATGCAACTGATCCAAAGTTTGCACTCCTTAAAAGAACGAATATTAAGAAAAGGCTTCGACTCTGCTTCGGTTCCGTGTTGCCTTACCAGATCAGATACTTACTTCCACAACTTTTTATGGGATGAGGAATAAATAGGGGATTGTCTTCGAGCCAGTTTCATGGGAGGAGTTTGATGTGCCTAAACCGACAAGGCCAGCTGGTGGAGTTTGAGTTCGTGCTTGTGAAAGAGAATGACTCGAATGGTGGCGGCTCAGGCAAAGGAGAGATCGAGATATTGCATAAGATCGCATAGGGCGAGGAGGATGGTGGAATGGAGAGTGCAACTTTGTTGGTCAAGCTTTGGCCTCAGATGAGAATTTCTATCTGCACCTAGATCAGATAAATCTGACAAATAAGATACCGAAAAACGTAAGATCATCTTTGTGCTTAAAGCTGAATCAAAGATAGATATAGTCCAGTGCTCGCCAGAGACCCTTTAACTACCTAGTATTTTAGAAAAAAACATATGCATCATGTCCGTATCCTCTTATGACCTTTACCTTCAGCCCCAGGGTCGTCTCCCGAACCTCTATTGTCAACAGAGATGATACATCGGAGGGCTTCGGTTTCCAGGGCGTCCGCCGCGGAGATCCGAGTTCTTGGATCTCTAGAGAGCATCTGTCGTAGGATAGATTTGACTTCAGGGGTTAGATGCTCATTATTCATGCGTGCCAGGTAGGTTTCGACCTCGTTCGAGGAGTCAAGGGTTATATCGTCTCCCAACACCAAGGGCGGTAGCATAAGAGCTGATAAGTCGACACGGCGTACGCCCATATATCGGCCTATTACCATATGCTGGGGCATCGGGCTTATTGTGATTGAGGTCCCAAACTTCTGGAGTCAGATAACAAAGAGTACCCTTATAGTAATCTCTTGAGGTATTGCCCAATATGGCATGTCCGAAATCGGTAACTATAGCTCCTATGCATAACTCTAATCGAGTGAAAATATGCTATTTCCTGAAGGATTTGCTGGGAGAAGAGGAGACGTCCTTCCGTATTGGTGCCAGAGGTGCTTAAATGACCGAAGGTATTTGCCACCAGCGGTTTATTGATTAGATGGGCTTCGTCGACCCGGCAGTCTGTTGGAGGTTCACGACCGTCTGCACCAGTCACTATGTCATCAACCAGGCGACAAACGTTCGGCTTTCGGTATTCATTAGGATTACCGACATCACCTCACATATGGGGAAACCTTACATAAGGTTTGTGTTTTGTATCTCATGCAGCATATCTATCTCGTAGGATATGTCTAGCATTGCTTGCGTTTCTGGTCATCCTTTTGATTGCCACCAAAGCGCCAGTAGTTCATGCACTCCATTCAGCACTGTGCAAGTCGATCCGAACTCGAATGCAAGTTTCACGAATTAATCGTGAAACTCGTAATCATGGCTAGACGGTGTTGGGCTGAGATCGAAACTTTCCAAACGTGAGATTCGGAGTGTTGAATGGCGCGTAAATCTCTTGCACGGCTGTGGACCTCGCTTGGCTCCTGGATCTGTAAGTTGCGTCAATTCCTACGCTCCTGTCTATCACCAGTTAGCAGGTGTGCAGTGATATAGTTTCATAGCGCAAATGCTTCCAGTCTCCGGTGGTGTAAAGGTAGCATATATCCTTGTCGAGAAGTTTCGCAACTCGGATATGATCTGAGTTCAATTCTCAGCTGGAGAGTATCCATTCATTTTTGCACTTTGTAAGGAGCTCTGATCAGTGTATAGGAACCAATCACTCTGTGATTGGACAAGCAGACAAGAGGATTTGCTGTGAATGGTTTTCAACAGCTTTGAGCATTCTGCTCGAGCGAGTACGAACTCGCGGTCTAGGTCCTTCTTGATTTCACCTTGTCTTCAGCTCCCGCGACCACTGTAGACGCTTGAGTCACAACCCGCAGACTTGTCATGTTGAGGCATCATGCAGTTTTTCTGCCCCCTGCCCCCTGCCCCCTGCCCATCGTCTCACTCGTTACTATTGTAAGAGAGTAGATATTTTTGGCTCTTAAAGATAGTTGTTTGACAAGAATAAACGAAATACGCATTAAGAGCAAACCATACTTTAGCAAGCAATTTAGGTCATCCTCTTACCGGTGCACCGACCAGTTTCCAGCTCCTTTTTTTCTTGCTCCTGGTCTTGCATCGCTGAAGGCTCCACTAAGGTCGATCTTGACTTGGAGCAGAAACCTTTGCTGCGTCGTTTCACGTCATCCCTCTCATTGAAGATGGCTTTTCACCCAAACAATACCCAGGCAGTCGGTAGGACTCAGGCACTACTGGATGCCTCCATCTGATGCAAGATTGCGGGTTCCTTGTGTTACTCGGCATTGTCTCTGATGCATTGCCTGCTCTTAAGAGCTATGGGCCGCTGCTTCTTCATTTTCCTCGCCATTGTGTTGTCGTATTTGGCCCGCAAAACTACAATGCTGCAAGTAGTTCGCTTCACTGATCATGTACCCCTTTTCCTGGCCGTGCAAGACCTTTTGGTGGTAGGATGTAGACTGCTCGCACAACTTCAGCCGCTGCAGGCCATAGACCCTTGCGGAGATGGTTAAGTAAGTCCAGACTACTGGTAAGTCACATCGGAGCACAGTCTGCCTTGGCACTCCACTCTTATGACGTAGTACTACTAACTTGGTATAGATACTCGTAGTAGCATCGTATCAGCTCAACCTGACCTACTTCCGGACGAGGCCACTGGCATTGACGTTCGGCACACTCTATCCAAATGTCTTCCGAAGTGGATCCCCTTCTGCCACGCAACCAGCCAGCTCCAGAAATATCTGGCTATGGATACTCAAAGCCTAACGACTTTATAAATGTGAATTATGAATCAACCCCTCCATCATATCGAAATGATAACGGTCAGGAGGAGAATGAGGAGAACGATGGTACCGAGTCAGTAACCTCCAATAGATCCGCTCTTAGCACAATATGCAGCATCTTCACCTTTGGCGTCCTTTTCGCGTTCATAGCTTCTATCGCACTCCCGCTGGGTGGCAATGGAGGAAACCGTCAGCCTTCTCCTGAGCCTGTACCTGGCCGTCCATCATCCACCATCAATGAACGGGTCGACAAGATATTGAACGGGACACCTTTGATCGACGGCCACAATGACCTGGCGATCTTCCTTCGCTTTGGCTATAAGAACCAGATCCACACATCGAAGTTCCGTGATAAGTTTGAGAAAGGCGGAATGGAGATGCATGTGGATCTTCCTCGTTTGAGGAAGGGCAAGGTTGGGGGTGCTCTCTGGAGTGCATTCGTTCCGTGTCCCGCAAATGCGTCTTATGACTTCTCCGACAGCGTATATGGACAATCGGTTTCGACCACCCTTTCGCAGATAGACCTTATCCGACGTATACAAACATATTACCCAAAGATCTTCATACCAGCCACGTCAAGTCCTACTGATGCCCTGTACTTGTTTCATCAAAACCACTCACTCGTCTCGCCCATATCCATTGAAGGTCTCCATCAAATCCCTCAGACCTCCCCGTTCACCACCTTGCGCCTCTACCACAGTCTCGGTGTTCGTGCTGCGACTCTCACCTGGAACTGCCATAACGCCTTCGCCGACGCAGCCCTCATTCCTTCTAACGACACTGGACTAACGGTTCCTGCTCCGCCTTATCGTAATGGTCTTACAGCCGCCGGCCGACAAGTGATCAAGGAGATGAACCGTCTCGGCATACTGGTCGACCTCTCCCATACCAGCTACTGGACACAGAAAGCTGTGCTCTCAAACAATACATCCCTGGCACCGGTCATTTTCTCTCACTCTTCGGCGTTCACCATCTGTCCACACCCCCGAAACGTACACGATGATATCCTTGACCTAGTCAAAGCGACAAATTCAATCGTGATGATTAATTTTGCATCAGCGTTCATCTCCTGTTCCCCACCTCCGAACTCCAGCGTTCTTCCGGATTTCTATCCCAGGAACAATACGCTGCATCAGATTGCACGGCATGTCGTCTATGTAGGTGAGAAGATTGGCTATGATCATGTCGGGTTTGGTAGTGACTTTGATGGTACGCTCTTAACACCAGAGGGGATGGACGGAGTGGACAAGTTTCCGGATCTGGTCGCGGAGCTGTTAAGGATGGGTGTTACTGATGAGGATGTAGCGAAAGTGGTAGGTGGGAATATTCTTAGAGTGTGGCAGGCTGCGGAAGATGTTAGTGCGAGGATGCATGAGGATGGTGTGTTGGAGTTGGAAGACGAGGTACCGGATTGGAAGGTTGATTGACAGCGGAAAATCATGTAAAAGAAAGTCAGGATGGGATGGACAGGTAAGAAGAAGTCAGCCTGGGCTTCTCATTGTACCTGAGCTGTCAGGTCCACTCTACAATGCTTGGTGACCCTCTACGGCTTCGAAATCGCTCTGCTCTCCTCGCCGACTCATCAGCAGCTCTTCAACCTTGAGCGACGGATCGCTTGTTCTCCATGCCGTCCATCCATGGCGCCTGAGTCGCAATCCTGTTCAGCGAAAGAAAGCTGCGCTCGGTTCAATACTGTCGCTATGCCCGCTGACCAGCTGCCTAGTCTGATGTTCCTCGTTCGCTCGAGGCAGAGGTGGCGTAAAGCAGCTCCCCAAGTCTATCAGGAGACAGCACTCGTATCGTCTCTTCGGAGGGTCCCAACACTCACTCACTTCCTCACCGGCTATGCACCAGCGATATTATCCACCAGGGTGATGGACAGGCTGACTTGCAGCTCAGTTTTCTCTGTCGACTCTGGGCCAGCATCGAGTCGAGAGCCGACTCTTTGGTCCAATCAAGGAGGAACCTGTACTCCAGGCCCAGAGATACTCTCCTAGAGTGATTGCTCTGCTGCATTGCTTTGCCACACGTTTTGCTCGTGCTTCGTCTGTACACCTGAATTTCCTCTTGGGGGAACAAGGTACGCTGCGTACCAAAAACGGACAGGCTTGCTTGAAGCTTATCGAAGTGAGGGTGGGTACGAGCACGGTGGCCTCTTAGTGAACCAATTCGTCGCTAGCTCTTAAGAGAAAGGCGAGGAGGCTACTGTTCGAGACTCGGGTTGGACGCGAGCGATAGAATGATGTCCATGGGGCTCTTATATCACATCAAGTAGGCTCAATGATCAGGGGAATACGATTTAAAGGTGGGTGAAAGGCATTTCAGGCAGGCAGCCTTTGTACCGACAGCGGAATACAAGCATCTTCAAGACCGGCAAATCATCATCTACTGTTCCGAGATCCTCCGTTTATTCGCATTCCGCGTGAAAAACAGAGAACATTTATATAGAGGGGTCCGACCTCATGACCGTGCCGCTCATTCCCGCGGCCTCGAACGCAGAAGTCATGAAGTCCCTCTCTGATCCAACACGCCAACCAACCTCTCCAACACGCCGTTAAACTCCCTGACCCTCTCGAGCAAACCGCCACCCACCCTCCCACTAACCCCTTCCGCCACCGTCCGCAATTTCCACTCCAAGCCCTCATCCCCCACCTCCTGCTGCTGCCGCTGTCCCCTCTCAACCTCCAATTCCGTCCGAAACAGCATCTCGCTCAGCTCCCTGACCCCGTTCAGCTCTCTTCCCCTCTCCTCCTTCCGCCTCCTCACCTCATCCATCCTCACCGCAACCCTTTCCCTCTCCCGCCGCACCTCCACCCATCGAGCCTGCATCTCGCTCTTCTCCCGCGCGGACTGTTTGAGCCGTGCTTCCAGGGAGAGACGGTGCTCGACTGCAGTCGAGAGGGTGAAGAGGCGCGTTTCGAGTTCCGAGGCGAAGGCTTGGAGGGCAGTGCGCTTGCGTTTGTGGGTTGCGCGGCTGGTGGTGTTGCTGGGGCCTTCTGCTGTTGTGTTTTTGGTGGCGGTGCTGCCGCTGCGGATGTTGTCGGTAGCGGCTTCGATGTCTTCGCGGCAGAATTGGGCGAGCACGTCTACGCAGTTGGGGGTTGGACGGTCGGGAAATTTGGTGGATTTCTGTTGCTGTTGGCCCGGTCCGGTGTCGGAGTTTTCGGCTTCGTGTTCGGCATCGGGTTCTTCGGTGATGGTTGGGAGAGCGGAGGTGTTGGTCAGGCGGTGGGTGAGGATGGGGAAGGCGGTGGATTTTTTCTTGCGCCGGCTGGATTTTGAGGAGGAAGCGGAGGAGCGGCGGCGGTTTGTGACGGCTTTCCTTTTCCTTGCAGGCTTTTTGGCTACGGTCTTTGGTGTTGGAATTGCTGGTGAGGTGGGTTGCAGGTAGGTTTCGTCGTCGTCTTCGTGGTTGGCTTGGTAGAAGCTGTCGTCGGAGGCGGGATGGGCGTGTGGTGTTGACTGTGCTTGGTGCGGACTCGGAAGGTCGGATTGCGCTTGCTGTACGGAGGTATCGCTTGATGGCTGTAATGTATCGGGGGAGACTCTTGGTGCCCCTGATTGTTGTCTTGGGGTCTTAATCGAACTCCGCTTTTTCTTGATATTGGCCAACCGAGAAGCCGGCGTCTCTGCTTGACCTTCAGTAAGAAGAGTTGGGTCGATCACGTCGCGGTGTTCCATTCCGTCTTCATTGAACGTGGTGTCGTCCAGGACTGCCACCAACTCCATGGTTGTGTCTGGTAATTCCCCTTGCGCAGTCATCAATGACATGCCTTCTGTATTTTCATCTAGAGACTCGTCGTCGCTATCCTCCAGCACCGCGACCAAAACCTCATCCCCAGAACCCACATCTCCTGCATCCGACAACAGCGAAACGTCATCAGATTGACGACTCGAGCTTCTTGAGGCACGGCTCTGCTGGCTTCTGATACTAGATACTCCTGTCCTCGATATCTTCCTCGACAGAACCGACCGTGGAGTCTTTTCGGGACGATTCCCAGGGACTGTATTCTCCTTGTTTGCTCCGGGGCTGCCTCCAGCCGTTGCTCCTGGACTTTTACCACTCGCTTCGTGCTGTGACTGCTCTGCCACCTCTGCGATCTCAATCGGAAGGGTAGACGATGGTCTACGTGACGTAGACCGATTCACAGAAAGATTCGAGGTTGAAGCATGCGATGTTGCTGGTGTAATCAGCTGTGCATTATCCTGCTCCATGGACAACCTCCTCCTCTTTCGTGACCCCGTCTCTGACTCTTCCAGTGGTCCATCGTATATATCCGGTCGCAATTGCGCTGATGTCTGGACAGAGTTTTGGCCCAAGGAACTTGCATTATTCGCTGGGTCTGGTCCTTTTGATGGTGTTCTCGAAGGCCTTCTCAGTGCACCCCTCGCAGTCAGGGGTGTTCTCGATTGACGCCTCTGAGAGGCAGGCTGTGGTATATTTCGCGCTGATCGTCCTGGAGTGGGATCGAAGGATATCCCGAAGTCGACAGCATTAATTTGACGCGTTCTATCACTTGTCAGTGCTCGAGCCAACCGCGGTTGGAGGACATACTTACCCAGCTCCGCGCTGGCGCATTCGCAGTCGCTCTTGACGAGTTGAGGGATCCATGACGCGACAATATCCGAATACTTACGATACGGTGAATCCGTGTCAAGAGGCCATTATTTGGACATTATGTGGTTGTCGATGGTGAGTTCCCTCCGTTGTTGTCATATCTCTGTTTAGCTTAGCGCAAGGTGCGGGCGGAGGGGAGTGGCGCTAACTGCTTGGAGTAGTACTAACTAGTACAAGTTGGGCGGAAAGACATGAGTCTTGGCAAGCTCGGGATTTAAGATCTGTGCCACATTAACCTATCATGCAGTATCGGGAACAAGAAGAAAACGTGAAGATCCAAAGCTATCAGATGCTTTTAGCAGCCTTCCATCGCCCTGTGAACCTCTGGGCTTGATCTGAGATGATCACGTCGGATTCATATCGTTGAGGATGAATATGAGATGCGTTGATATCTTCCTTGACTACGAAGAGGCCTGGAGAACACGGATTATCCACGGAAACGATTGCGTGAAAGATGCGACCTCGATTCCATTGGCGACATTGATTATTCCTCAGTGGCTTGGCAGAAGCAGCAAGCTCAATCAAGATGCACACCATGATCACTGGTGCAACGAATAAAAGGAAGACGCCCAGACAATGTGAACTAGACAAATGGCAGCACCACCATACATAACGCGGCGGTAGTGGCATTGCGGATGTGGCCATGGCAGAAGATCAGAAAAGACGAATGAAAAAGTAATAGGACCAGAAGAAGAGAAGGATCATTGGCCTGCCTTTGCTGCACACACTTCGAGAGGGTGGTGTCGTCATCCTTTCCCTGTCCGCCAGCATGAGAATTTTGAGGAATACTGGCAAGACGTTGCCTCCAGTAGAGCATGTCTTGGGTCTGCTGAGGTTAGTTACAGCTCAAGCAGCTTCTCATTGTTCCCTTCTGCTCTTGCGAACATGTTGTGTGAAAGTACGACAGGACGCTCAACCTTGACGATCGATAGTGGAAGGGGGCCACATCCATCAGCAAGCTATACAAGCCTGGTGTCCGCAGACTTAGGGTATGAGCTGTGCAAATACACAACGGATTACAAAAGGCTTTGGGAGGGTGTTGGGCTGGACGAAGCATATGACCAAGATCTGCTCGGGGAAGACACTCAAATGTGGTATTATTCTTTTGACCGAAAGGTGAATGTGTGTGGCAGTGGTAAATATCAACTGGACAGGACGGGTGTTTCAAGAGGAAGCATGCTCTTGATAACAAGGTGCCAAACTGGTTTGTCTCTTTACGCCGTTCCCCAGCTACCAGTATTATGCATCCTGCCTCTCTCCTAAAATATTCCACATCCTTGAATGTGCACAGATGATTCAACTGCACCTCTTGTGTGGCATGTACTACCATTTTTAGCACTTACTAATCTGAGCACATGCTGTTGTCTATCGTGGTCCTTGGTTCCAGTATGTACTTCACTTCACCTCCCACCCGTCAGTTCCAGTAGCTGGGTCTTCGGATCCACTGCATATTTGCCACATCAGACTGAACTGCTCATCCTCTGTGTCTTTCTACGCTACCAACGAGCCTATGATGGCTTTCAGTTTTCCCCATAGGGGCGAGCTTCGTGCAACAAGTTGCTCACTCAAGATTCGCTTTGCCTGTTGTCGTTGTCACTCACAGAAGCTCCGTTGTGCCAGGAAATCTGGCCAATTCACTTGTAATCGACGTGTCAAACGTGGAGATTCATGCAAATTCAGTCCCAGTGCACCTCGGATCTCATTGCAACCCTTTGACCCTGCTGCATCGAGTCGAGGGCTTTGGAACAATCAGGTTGGTTTCTGCTCTCCTTTACATGGCTCTTGCTGCTGTCTTGCTACCCGGTTGCTCTCTTCTTCTCGGATATCTAGTCGCGATAACGTCTGTTGCTTATAGAGACCATGAATCTGGATCTCTTACGACTTCATAAAAGTCAACATTTTTGAGCAGCTCAGTCTTGAGTGGCCTGACTCTCTATGCCAGCCGCCCAGTGCACGTCCGTTGATTCACCATGTCTCTGCCAGGCCATGACGACAATGACAGCGCTGTGGACTCGGCTACTTTTCTTGCTACCGCCATCAGAGAGCTGGCCAGTCTGAATGTGACGCTCTACGAGCACGCTGCCAAAATTCCTTCCCTGCCCATGGCAGACGCTAATTCTCCAGAGAAAGCATCGGGTGGTGCACGTAGCTCACAGAGAACGACTCTCTTTGCTATCGATGAGACTTTCCATCCTATCGAGAAACTCATTGATGGTGTCAATCTCTTCTCTCATGCAGCAACCAATACACCAGCAAGATCTTCAACCAGCACAAAGCCATTGGACACTGATCAGGGCATGATGATCTGTCATCTGCCCCTTGCACCCAACCGCTTGGTATGTTGGTTCGTCACTAGCTGGAACTAGCTCGAGACCATCTTCCGCTTCCCCCTTATACGTAGACGAAGCAACCACATTGATGATCCTCTCCTGCTACTGTCGCCTGACGGACATCTATGTGTCCATCTTCCAAAAGATGCAAGCGTGCGTCAACTACCCGAAATCACCCATGATCGACCAAGCATGATCGACCAAGACCATGTCGTCGTACTTTCACGCCTTCAAGTGGGTTTGTGCAGGCCTCCCGCCATTCACGTTGAGTCAGATACATCCATGCCGTCCTCAACCACCTCCGTGTACATGCTGACGACAAGGATGGTTTCACTTACAATTTACAATCAACTCGTCGAGGCGATGAGACAGGGATCTGCTCTCAAGATCCTGCCCGGCGCAGTGACCAAGAGCAGAATCTACCGGTCCAAAGCGAGAAGGAAGATGAAGATGTTGCACCTCAAGAGTCCACATGACTGTCACAGTCCAGTTTCGGGAATATGGTCCATCACACTATAACGAGCCGAACCGAAAAACTGTCGCAGACCATCCAAACTACTAGGAACATGCTACAGCATTTTTCTCTCCACTCAGATTGAGGCTATTGTTACGCCGCTGTTTCTGCACCGGGTAGTACCACAGACAAAGATTTAAAGCATAAAAGAAGCATCATAATTATTCTCCTGAGATATAGTATCCTACTGTCAGCCGGCTAGAAACATACATTGTGGTGTAAAGTCGAATTCATGGTGACAAAATCGACGTGACAATTCATGGCCAGGAATGCCTTGCTATGTCTCATTGATCTTCAAGATGTCAAAATGCCATCTTCGGCCCCACATCTTGGCGTTCTATCCTGCGCCCTAAATCGAATCGTCAAACACGTTATCCCCTCCGTACCTGAACAGGGGTGTAGAATGTGCCAATTAGCGCTGTCGATCACTGCGGGGAGGCTCAA